AGACATTTATGATATTATGATACAAGATATTATATATTATTATATTCATACATAGAGTTGCTATAAGCTTCATAATCTTTTTTAAACGTCTCGAAAGAACGTTTTCTCCCAGTATGTCGTACTTCGTCGCAGAACATTCGATGTATGTTTTGCTAACATTTTCTTAGATGACGTTCTATTGTACCTGAAGCTGCACATCTCCGACTTCTCCATTTTGCCTTCCGCTTCTTACTTCTTTTTCCAACCACCCCTATCTTCGCCCAACCTCTCGTTCCAGTTGTTTGAACAACGAGGGGTGGATATTATTCCCACGAGATCTTTCCAGTCGTCTTACGACTTCCTTCGAGAGTAGTTTCTTTTTCAAGACGAAGCGCGTATGAGATACCTTTTGCGGAATCTTTTCTATCATATTTAATATTGAAAATTATTCACCAAGAATTTAAATGGTACATTAAAAACTTTCTAAACGTATAAAATTAACATTTATAAAATTTAATCATTAAATTTTCATATGTTATTTTATTATACAATACATAATATATTCATAAACAATTTCATGTTTAATTAAATTATTGTTATAATTAATGTTGATTACAAAACAGCAACTGTTTATAATATATGTATTGGATAAAAAAATGAGACTTTGAAGAAGATCAAAGTATGTTTGATACAAATAATGTATCTAAAACAAATCCAAGATTCAGCTATAAGTAAAGATATGTAATTAGTAAATATTTCATATAATGTGTTTTATTTACGCTTGTATTTCTTTTGCTTCTCTTTGTTATACCTCTCAATTTTTTACCTTGCTACATTTTCCAGTCGAACGTGCCGAGCATGCTTTAAAGACGAGGCGAATATTATTTTAGACCAGCGCTGTTAGCTATTATGAGAATATTGCAAAGGTAGCTATTTTCCTCTCTCTCTCTCTCTCTCTCTCTCTCTCTTTTTGCTAAATATTACTTTAAATTTTAGATAATGCATAGAAAGCGGGAGTAGTTTACTACAGCAAAATTCTGCTTTGCACAGTATGAAAATTATTCTATTAAATTATAGTATTAAATGTGACGTCCTTTCATCTCGGCTTGATTATTGCGAACGGAATGCAGTGATTACAACATATGGTTTATATTAGCAAGTTATCCATACATATACAATTTACACGTGTATAATTTAAATTTCACAACTTTAACGTGTCAGTGAATTTGGTTTCGGCCGGATATAACTTGCCTCGCACGAATAACGAAGCCGCGCCAATATGTTTCACGACGAGAGCCGCATCTTCATATAGAGAACGTTCTCCACATTCGGCAGTGAGTCGTGATTTCTCTTTCTGACGGCAGAAGTTTCTCACGAAACGTTACAGCCAAAGCGCATCGAGGGGTTCCAATTCGCGGAGTTGCCAACATTCGCATAAGATGTAAATAATGTTTCGCCTCCGGTGCATTCCGCATGCATCGAAAATCCGAGAGAAACGAGTACCGCGCACATCCGTCGACCCTGATCGTCAACGTCGCGACCGGCAGCCCGGCACCGATACATCCATTTCCGCAAAATTTTCAACCGCATACCGACTCGCGTAGGAATTCTCGCGACATACGTCTTCCAACGATTTCCTTCTTTCTCCTTTCCTTTCTCTCCTTGGAGATACACATGAGAACACCCACACACACACACACACGCTGTCGGCTTTCCCGACTTGACTTTATTTTCTCACTCGACCATTTTTCTCCTTCATTCGTCCCCACCTCAGTCAGAAACAGTTCCGGTTGTTTGAACAACGGCACGAATATTATTCCGCCGATTACGCGCGACTTTTCCGGCTAGAAAATCCCTTCTGCGATTTTCGTCGCACAGACGGCAGTTCACCTAGCGGTGATATTTCTTGTGAAGAGATATAGATATATACATATATAACGACGAACGACGTTTCCAAACTTTTCAACGCGAGATATTTGAGTGCCGACGTTTCCATTTGACAGTACTCTTCAGGCTCTTTCCAACGAACTATACGATCAAAATTTTCTTATGTCGCAATGGCGCGAAGGACTTGGCAACGCGAAGAGTCACGTTTCACGGAAATGCGCAAAATGCGGATCAATGATAGCGATTTATGAGAATGCAGGTTTCTAAATAATAATCTCGATGCTTCTCTTGCTAGAACTTTAATGTTTCTTTCAACGTTGAATTATATATGTATTATAATATACTACCATCATCTATTTTCCAAAGTATAAAGATGACTATCATATTGAAAAATTTACTGTTTAAAAGATGATTGATAGGTGACAAGGGGATTAAAAACCTTCTTTACTTCGGAAGGATGTAGACAAGTGAAAATATACTTCTGCAGTGTCCTGAAACGGCCAGAGAAATACTAATAATTTAACTAGTTGCTAAACCCTGGCTTTTGTCAGACAACTTAGAAATGGAAGGAGTTAATTTGCGAGTTTCATAGGACCCTTTCTCTCTTGAGGGTTCACCAAGCTTATTACAGTAAATAGCTTAAGCGAGGGTGCCCCGTTCGGCCTCCCTTGTTCGGTTGGGCCTTTCATCTCGCAAAACTCATCTCGTTCTATCTCTCCCTCCGGTGTACGACCTAAAGGATACAGACCGTGGAATCGTTATCACTTTATCAAAGTCGGGCGCGGTGTTCGCGCCGACAGGAGAAAGACCGTGCTTTTAACAGACCGTATCGTTTATTAACGGTTTAACAGCTTCGAGCAACGTATATTGCATTAAAATACGAGACATCGCGCCGATTAAACTGTTGCTGTGTCAAGGAAAAAAGATTGTTCCGCCACGAACAAGCACGCGAACGAGAAACGCCTGCTTCTACGGCATATTTAAAGCGTACCACGGTAATAGGATAGCGACGCAACGAAAAATGGTTTAGAAACGAACTTTCTTAACCCTTGCATACTTCCTTTCATTTGAATTCGTTGAATAAAAATATATGTATCTTAGCAATATATAGTATAGGTACTTAATCCTCCGCCAACAATATAAGACTTCAAAGGCACAGTCGATTTTTTTATTGTGAATTTTTTTAAATAAATTCAAATTTGTAAAAAGTAAGTAAAATATTTGGTATATGCAGACGTCTTAGTCTTTAAAAAATTTTTTTTATTTACATGTATATGTATAATGTAAGTACTAAAATCATTTAATTAACAATAATGGCATTTGACATTAATGCAAATTCACCGAGAAAAACTCTTAACAGAGTACATTTTATATTTCATCACATCACAAAAGGATCTTTACGCCAAAATTATGTCTTTAAAATGACGAAACTGGTATTTTCGTGTATTATGAGATATATTCCGCTAAAAACAGAACAAATTGATTTATATTACTTTAACTTTTTTTTCCTGGAAAAATCATATTAAATGTAATGTCCATGAAAATATAATACTTTTTGTCGTTCATCATATTCACTGTTATTTTATAATAATACGTGTATTATTATTATAAAATATAGCGTTTCAGATAATTGATATCAGTTTTACAAATATGTGAGAAACGTATGAATTATTTGAATTTAAAATAATTATACCAGAACGTGGAAAAAAAGATTAAAATTTCTGCATACACCTATAATCTAATAACCTGTAATTTTACTATATATGATAATAGTAAACATTTTGTTGTTAAAGCTTTCACAAATATGTAGGAATTTTTTCAAATTTTTACACAGTCCAGAACATTATAAAAAGTCTGCAGTGAAGTTCAAAGAATGCAGACGAAGAGTTAACATTTTATTGCCGACGGGTATTAATTTAACATCTCACTTGTATTGCAAGTCCGTTTAACATAACAGTAAAAATATAAAAGTTTAGTTCAATACAAGTTGCTTGGTTTAACACATCCTCAATTAGCCCACTACATTTTAATGCAGTACAATTGTACTTGTGATACAAAGTAAAGAAAGAAAATTAAACTGGATAAAAATTAACATCAGGCGATGTCAGTGCAATGGATTGGCAGTTTCATTAATTCACGTATCATGTATATAAAAGCGCGAAATCTCGGGTGTGAATTTTAAAGCCGGCAGGTTGAAAGGACATGCCAGAGTACGGTTCTTATCATCTATCGGGACGAAATCAGCTGAAATCCACTTTAAAAGGCGCAAATCCGGGCGGTTTCGATCGGTGCCAGTAGCAGTTCGCAATTCGCATCGAACTATTTCCACCGGGGAAAATCGTGATTTGAATGGTAATCACACGACGCAGCAAGCCACTAAGTCCACTTGCACGTCTTCTATGCAAATAGACATGACTTCGCTTTTCCGCTACGCACGTATGAGTCTCCACGGCACATCGCGCTCTCACGATCTGCGAACACGGGAGATATACCTCCGGACGAGATTGCATTTGCCGCAGTGCGGGGCACGGTATGTACGATCTATTCGACGATGTACTTTCGAAGCTTCGCTGCCTGCACGAGGCCGTTCGTATAGTAGATCTGATGGTTCCGTCTCGTCGTATTTCTCTATTTAAAATTACCGAGATAAACGGTCGGATGCACGCACTCCTGCTTGCAGTCCTCAATCTAAAGATAGTTTTCTTTTCTTTCATTGCTCGTCATGTTATATATTCCGCAAAATGACGATCTATGATATGGGTGAAAAGATTTCAATGAAAAGAATTCAAATAGAATATTTAGATAAACTATTTTCAATACTTTTATTTATAACATTCGAATACACAATGAAAAATACGACTTACTTTTAAATTGTTACTAATTTCAATAAGAAGAATTTAAATGGAATATTTAGATAAAATATTTTTAATACATTTGTAATATCAGAATATGCAATAAAAAAATGCGATATACACTTAGGTTTTAGCTACTAAAATACATGGTTTTATACATGGTTTTATACATGGTTTTAGCTACTAAAATCACGTAATAATTTATGTTCATCTCTTATACAAAATACAATTGATTTTTCTACATTTGCGAGAATATTTTTATTAATAGAGAGTATAAAATAGTTGTTTCAGAGAGCACCGCATATGAATCGCATGTTTTCATGGCGGATACCTTTCAAGAACGCACAACATCGGAAATTGATCCGTACTTTGACACCACAGTGCCGTCCAATATCACTGGCTTGGCTGGAGAAACTGTTCAACTGGCGTGTAAAGTGAAGAACATTGGAAATAGAACGGTGAGTTAAAAAATATTCTTTACGGGTATTTTTAAATTTTTACAGTATTTATATTATAAATGGCAATAAATGAAGAAATTAAATTAAATTTTATCGCGTATACAATAGTCGAAAAATTGATTGGATAAATTTCATTTCATGTTAGAATTTCCGATTCGCTTGCCATAGAATTACGTATTTCATGCAAATCTTAAGCCTCACAAGTAGCAATTCGGATTTTGACACGGGATATTGGCAGGCGAACACAACCACCTACAAACCACAAACACGCGAGATAGGCTTGCCCGAATAATGCACGAAACACGACTCGGGTGTGACAAACCAAGATGAGCGGCGTCGACATTTTCGAAATGTCGATGTCGCGTGAAACTACGTCTCTTGTTGCGGGATTACTCAATGAATCGCGCATAATTAAAATATCTCTGAAACTTTTGAAATAAATCTCACTCTGAAGAGCGAAATTTTACTCTTAAAGATTGAAAATTGAGTCATTCTTGTTCAAGACTGGCTCAATTTTCACTCTTTAAAATGAGATTTCACCTCAAAGAATTTAGAGAGTAACGGATGTTGCAAATGACGATGTTTACATGAAAAAGCAGGAAGAGAGAATAGTGAGATCTTTCATAAATATAGGAACAATTCCATGTCTATTATAATATTCCACAGTTATATAATTATCGTCGTTGTATCGCGATTATTCAGATTTCAATTTCAACTCGGACTTCTGTTGTTGATTAAGTTAAATCGGTTTCGTTCGTACCGGACCGTAAGACAATTTTTTCGCCTCCACGGTTAAATCAGTGTTTCGAGTAGGTCGGTAAATTAACTCGAAGGCGGACACGGCCCTTGGGGAATTTATCTTCCACTCTGGGACTTCCGGGCGTCCTCGATTTCTAGCATTAACGGTTCACGGCACTACTCGGGGATTAGCGTAGTGGTTAAGTAGAAAAGGACGATCTTTGTCAGACTATGTCTTCATGCAGATTCGGTTGGGAGGTCACAGTTTTAATCCTAGAGTCTCATTTCTATGCAAAGGTCGGTCTTCGCGTTTATGTCAGCCGCGGCTACGCATGTACGTCTAATAGGTTTCGTTGACATTATACATTTATCTGTAGAGGTGCACACGATAGGAAAGTATAATGAAAGCTTCGATCATAGTAATTAACACTCCATTATGATGATAATAATAATGTTATATCATATTAATATCTCGCCACCTGCAGGATATACATATGGATACATGCATTCGCATATGGACGTAATGTTGCGAGAGAACGTCAATGGAATTGCTCGGACAAAATTATGTACAATCTCTAACTCTTAATGGAAGTGTAGGAACATGAAGAAGCCGAAAACGATGAAGTTACGTGAAAAAAAGTTGCGCCCCCGGCGGATAAGAATAAGCGCCACTCTTTCTCGAGGTGATATTAACTCTGAAAGTCGGTCTCGCGCGTGCAAAAAGATTTGAAAAAGGAAGAGCAGCAATCGCCGTTATACGGCAGTCACAGTGCGTTCTTGAGTTTTATCCACTCGCATATTTCTGTCGAAGCTATGCACGGCCGTGTTCTTTTTCCTCTCTCGCGCGCGTATCGTGAATTTTATTACTCGGAAAAAGTTTCCCACGAGTATACCGGATAAATGATGCTTTCTTTTTGCGAAAAGTATATTAACAACGTCGGCATATTCGAGCGGCAATCGCATTAGATCGACAATAGAAAGCTCTTTTGCCATTTATATTTCCGATAATACTCGAACGCAAATGCGCGTCGTGAGTTTCGTCCTGCAGTCGATCAACAATGTTGTTGATATGTGTAATGTAATATACAATATTATACACAAAACGACATATTATAGCATAATATAGAATATCATATTGTGCATCATTTTCATAAAATAACAAAGCTCCCATTGATTTCTTGTTTCTATTCTATGTTTAGTAAAGGATTCGTTTGCACTACAGCTTACATTAATTAACTTTCATAAGAGAGAGAGAGAGAGAGAGAGAGAGAGAGAGAGAGAGAGAGAGAGAGAGAGAGAGAGA